TTGGTGTAGCTGATGAACTGCCTCCGCAGCCGGCTCAGCTCGGCCACACTCACGGGCCGGCTCAGCACCAGCCCCTCGGCCACGCCGGGGACGCGGATGGTCTCCCCGGGCTGCGCCCCGCTCCTCTGCGCGGCCAGCACGGCGGCCAGCACGTCCTGGGTGACGCGGTCCAGCTGGTGCAGGAAGCCGCAGGACTGCAGCGGCTGCGTGCGGGTGGCGCGGTGCGGCGGCGGCGGGGCGCTCTCGAACAGCGCGGCGCGGATGGCGCCCAGCGGCAGCGGCTCCTCCCCGCGCACCGTGAACAGCGGCCGGTCCCAGCGGCAGCTCGGGTCGGGCTCCTCGAAGGGCGGCTCGTGGGGGCCGCCCGCGCCGCCGGCGCAGTGCAGGAGGCAGCGCGCCGTGCCCGCCTGCCGCGCCGCGCAGTACAGCTCGTAGCGGATGCTCCGCAGCTCGTTGCCCGCGTCCACGATCACCACGTCCCGCCGGCTCAGCCGCCGCTCCACCTCGGCCCGCAGCGCCGCCCGGCCGCCCTCCGCCTCGGCCACGACGTGCGCCGCCCGCTCCGGGCCGCCCAGCGCCTCCCGCAGCTCGGCCGCCCGTCGGCTCTTGCCGCTGCCGGGCCGCCCGCACAGCACCACCAGCGGCATCGCCCCGCCAGCGACACCCGACCCGGACGTGGAGCGACCGCTTCCGCCGGGCACACACACCCACAGCTCGCCCGGCCCGGGCCAGGCCCCGCACGGCCGCCCCCGCGCAGCCCCGGGCGCTCCTCCTCCCCGCGGCTCTGGCACCGCGACACCGCCCTGCGAGGCGTCCCGCTTAAAAACGCCATCGCAGCAGTTGTTGGAACGAAGGGACCGCGCCCTCGCCCTCAGGGAACTTAAAACCGAGAAGTCCCCAGCATCCCATGACATTGTGCAGTTTACAGAATTGAAATCGAAGGACTTCCTAGACCATTGGCTCTGGTGCACCTCACTTGATGCATCCCAGATAATTTTGTGTAATTTTTCATCTCCTGATTTATGGTCAGACTTAGTTTAAAAAAAAAAAAAAAAAGTACTTTTTAGGTTTATAATTTTTTTTGCTACTAGTAGTTTCTCCCAGCCCTTCAATTCAATAACACTCAAATGCTGCCTCGCTCAAATCAGCAAGCAGATCTGTGCATCAGCAGTGAAAGGAGAGTGTGGTTCACACCCATCCCATCCCTTGCTGCAGGGTCTTTTTGAGCAGGAACACTAATCCTGCCTAAACCTGAGAGCTCAGATCTTGCCATCCTTCCCACCCTCTTCTGTCTCTCTTTAAAGCTTCCTCTGCTACAATTACAACAGTAAAAACTGAAATAATCTACTTCCCCCCCCCCCCCCCCCCAAAAATGCCAAAGTATCAAGTTATAAAAACTTGTAAGACTTCTGAAATGTACCATCTGGGTTAATTCAATGTCTGCACTGGAGTGTAGAACTTGCCAGATGGATCAGTTTGAGAGCAGAGCTAAATTAAACAGCAAACCTGGAAGGCATGAGTAATTTCTGCTCATGTCAGCATTGTCAGATCTAAGTTATAAAGTTAAAATGCAAATAGAATTTTTAAGCATGCCATTCTCCTTCTTGGATTTTAACAAGAAGCAGAAGAAACTCTGAGGAAAAAAAAAAGTCAAGAATGTCATTTTTCACAGAGACATTGTTCTTTTTAGAATTTAAGCTTAGCCCAAACCAGGTTCTGTCAGTTCACTACAGTTTGAAACTGTAGATTTTTGCTGCAGATGGAAACAAAATACCTCATGCTGAGGCCTTATCTATACAGGCACAAGGAATTTTAGGGAAGCTCTTAGCACGTCTGAGTTTAAGGGCATTGAGCACCACTTACACTTGCATTTGTGCATTTGAGAACCATATCTTTCTTTACTGTGATAAATAATTATTTTCTTGTTTCAAGGACATGCTAGGGCTTCAATCATTTAATTAGACTGCAGTGATTAAACCTAGGTGGTGCCTTAGCAAAGTTAACAAAGTTCTGTATTTTCTCTCCAATAACCTGTAGGGATCTGAAGTCTCCTAAACCACACTCATTTTTGTTAATAGAGACTCTTTTCTGGTTAAAGTTAGGGCTGAAATAGAACCATTGTGAATGCTTCTGAAGACACATTTCTGTATTTAAAACTAATGAACATACCTGGCTGCTGCCTCTTTCTTCCCATCTTCCAGTGTTCTCCAATGAATATGATCTCCAAAACCTGTCAGAGAGAAGGATTTATAAATGCTGCATAATTTAACATGTCAGCTAACAGAGGAAAACAGCCCAACCCTCGAGAGTATTTTCAACTCATTTTATATTCTTTTTTTAAAGACAACTATAGCTCCACTTCTGGAAAGACTTCTGGAAATACTTACAGCCCACCCACACAGTCGTATGAGGAATCCCATTGAAATTAATTAACAAAAACATACCATGCTCATGAATACTTCTATATATGTATGTAAATGACACCAAAATCCCCCAAACAGATATTAAAATTGAAGTGCCTTCTGATTATTCTCCGTTCTTTTTCAGCCTGTGAACATTTATTATCTGATGAATGACAAATTAAACATGCCAGCATTTGGCTTCCTAAATCCCACTGAAGGTGAACTAAACTGAAACTTAAAAATGTCAAGGCCAACATATGATCATTAATTGCTCTAAAGCTATTATGCTAAGTATTCCTGCTGATGATAATATCATGGAAGAGCAAGAAAGAACACCATTATACAGATTTCTGAGTGTTACAGTGACTGGACGATGCAGGAAATATTTTATCTGGCATGCAGATAACAAGTCTTGTTATGTCAATTGACTTAAGAGTGAGTCACTGTATGTTTAACAGCTGCAAAGCAGTGACTGCCAGGGTTGGGTTTTTTTAGTAGCCAGCACAGCACATGGACAAAAGCCACCTGGAGAGCTTAGATGAAGGAGGTCCAGGAGCTGTACAAAGAGGAACTCTCTTGGAACACCTCCTCAGAGGTCTTGGTTCCAGTAATTAATAATTACTGTGCTGGATGGCCAAACATGAGTGTTCGTTTACCCCTTTCCATCCCTAAGGGTTTGGATTAGTCAGGAACCCACTGTGCCCAAGGTGCTGAGGAGAGCAGATTTTGGGAGCTACACAGAGATCAGGAGCTACAGAGTGCCCAGTGCAGACACGGGAGAGTGGAGATTGCCTCCGGCAGCCAACCATGGCAAAGAAGCTGGAGAAAGCCTAAAACAAGGCAAGTCTCCAGGACACCTCCGTTCAGCACCCAGGAGGTGAGGACAGTGGCACAGTGTTTGTGTTCCTGATCTCTGCTGATATGAGCAACTGTGACCCTAAGTGATGCAACACATCAAAGAGATGAGCTCACAGCAGGGCGGGGATCGTCCCTGTCCCCTCACACCCACACAGCAAGTGCTGCGGCAGCCCCCGACACAGGACCACGTTTGTACGAGCTCAACATCCCAGAGCAAAACCCAGCTGGATTAGCACAAGTCATGTTTACGCAGAATACTGACATCTCAGCTATTTCAGTCAAAGGCCAAAATGTTAAAATAAAAAGCCCTTCAATTGTTCTAGCTGGGAAATACTTTTCAAAAGCTTTTCTATATTTAAAACAAACCCCACTTTGTGGTGAGCTTCAGTGTGTTTTTAAAAGCATCGCCCAACACATTACAGAGTGTATCTTTTGAATGAAAGTCATCTGGGGAATTAAAGGGTGAATGGCTGGCTGGGATCCACACCACAGCTTTGCCTTCATTGATCAAATTGGTTACAACCAGCCTTGAGGAGGAGATTTACCTCTACGGCAAAGCCACCACCTGCGTGAAGCCCAGGCCGCGGGTGAACCGGGTTATTAGACACGGTAATTAGACAAGGAGCCTGGGCAAGCCGGCAGCGAGGTGAGGAGCGGTCACGAAGGGCAAGGGAAGCCGAAGGCGGAGGGAAGGGCCATTCATCGCCTGCCAGGAGCCCGGCGGAGGCGGGCAGGCACGGGGGGCACGGCGGGGCTGCTCCCCCGGGGCTCCGCGGAGCCCTCAGAAAGGCTTCAGCCAGAACCCAGCCACAACGGGGAGACCCCGCAAATCCCCCCCGCACCTCCAGAGCCCGAGCTGCGCCCTCTGCCCTCCCCCCCCGGCGGCCCCCGCGGGCTGAGGGGACCGGACCTGCCCCGAGTGGGGACAGAAGTTGGGGAAAGCCCGAAGAAAGCGTTTGTCTGACCCTTTCCGAGCCCTCCCGCGGCGGAGGCGGCGCAGGCCGCCAGCACCAGGCACAGGCAGAGGACGGAGGCTGCCGCGGGCTGAGCCTTCATGGTGTCAGCGCGGGCAGCGGCGGCACCCGGGTACGGCCCCGAACCTCCGGACACGACAGGACCCGCTTAGCTGGACTTTTTTTTTTTTTTTTTCGTTTTTTTTTTTTTTTTTTTTTTTTTTTTTCCTCCCCCGTTTTTTAAAGCCCAGGAAGTGATGTGTGGCGGATGTGGGCGGTGCACCGACCTGACGGCTCGGCCCGGGGGTGCCGGGGCAGGCAGCCGGCTTGTACGGTGTGGGGGGCTCGGGATGAGCTCAGCTCCTTACAGGGAGCCGGGACCCCCGGGGTCGGAGTCGTCGCACCGGGGCGCCAGAGCCCTGGTTACTCCCCCTGGGCAAACCCCAGCGTTATCCCGATGGGAGCCGGCAGCGGTGGGAAGGGGGTGGTTCCGGATTTATTTTCTCCATCGCAAATAAATCCTTTTGTCATTCTGCTCTCCGTAGTTGGCAAACTGGCAGGAAGGCAAAACCGACCGCTACCGCAGCGTGTGAGGGAGGGTTCACTAAGGGGGACAGAGCGAGTGGCGGCGCGTTTGGAAGCGCCGCGTTCCAGCTTGAGTCACAGGGCACCGCTCCCTGCCCCGAGGCACGGGCAACTGCCGCTCCCTGGAGACTACAACTCCCAGGAGCCTTTGCAGGCCCTACCTACCCCCGCCTCTATGTAAATGAGGTGGGCGGGCCCGCCCATTGCGGGCGGGCTGGCGCCGTCACGTGGCGCGGCGCTTCCTTTCTCTGTGCGCCTCTCTTTCCTTCCTCGGCCGCCATCTTGTTCTCGCCGCGTGTTGGCAGCGGGGCTCCGCCGCGCTCAGGTGAGGGGGCTCGCTCTTCCCGTGTCCCGGTGTCTCCGTGTCCCGGTATCGCCGCGTCCCTTTAGCGCCTTGTCCCCGCCGGCCTGAGGCGGGCGGGGCGCCGCGGCAGCTCGGTCCTATCCCCTTGGGCAGTGCTGGGCCGTTCCCCGCGGAGAGGCCGAGCGAGCGATCCCCTTGTGCGGGGGCTACCCTGGCTCGCGGGGCCGCGGCTCTCCCGTGGAGCGCGGTTACACGGGCTCCTGAGGGATGAGCCGTGTTCCCCTCCCGCTCCCCGTGCTCTGGGGCTGCCCAGCGAGCCACCCTGAGCCCCTGCTCCCGCTGCCCCGCCGTTCCCCTGTGCGCCGCTCCCTGCCCGCTCCCGCTCTGCCCGCGGTCGTTCCCGGCACAAAGCACATGCGGAGATTTCCGCGGTCACTGGGGACTCTCTGGGGCACAGCAGCGAAACGCATTCCTTTTGCTGGGAGGCTTGAGGCGTTTTTTCACCCATTCTGGATTTTCAGGGCTTTCAGCCTTTAAAGGTCTTACCTGAGCCGTGGGAGAAGCACTGGACAAACTTCCCAGTTACTGTATTGGATGAAGAACTGAAGTTCATGTAGTAAATGTGTCCATACATGAACTTCACAGAGTTTGGATATCGCTCATTAGTCATAAGTATCATAGATTCATTGTATGAATACTGTCCCAGGTAGTTTAGTTATGAATGTGTCCCTGGACCCTGGTAAAGATGAGGTGTTTTCCCAGACCCAGTTGTCGTGTATGTGCTGGTTTGGGTCTGGCTGGAGCCAGTAATTCAGTTAAATACTTCCAGCAGTAAACTGGCATTAGTTTACTAAAAACTAATACCTAGGAAATTAGTACCTCGGCCTGATGCACAGTGAAGTGTCTGTGGAGTTGCCTCATCGTGGCACAGACACTTTAGCTAAATGTGGGTCCTTCCTACTGCAGGGCCATTATGGATTGCTTAGGTGGTGTGGCTTTAAAGCTCTGGTTTTGTGTGTTTGTTGACTCTGTTTTGGGTGATGTGCTGCAGTTGTAAGAGTAATCTTAAAATGGACTGTGACTTTGTTTGTTAGTGTTTTGATGTTAAGTTGAACTTGTTTTTGCTCTTTAGACGTAGCACTATGAACCAAGAAAAACTGGCCAAGCTTCAGGCGCAGGTCCGAATAGGAGGAAAGGTAAGAAAACCACCAGAGATGCTTTTGAAAGCATAGGCTGAAGTTCATAGGAAGAGATGAAAAAAATTATGCTCAGGCTTGACTAATACAGATTTTGTGTGATCTGGCCTATAGTGCAGCTACCTGAAATGCAAGTTCCTTTCAGTTCACAATGACTGGATGAGCAGTTTCCAGTGTGCAAGCATTGTTTTAATTCAATGACTTGTTGTGACCTGTGAAAGCTCCAGCTAATCTCACCTGTTGGGTGTTCCAGTTCTGCCTTTATGGTCTCCCTGGTGGGGATTTTCTTCTTTTTGCCTGCTTCAGGCACTGGCTGTGCACTGAGCTGTTTCTTTTCTCTGAGCTACTGGGGAGTTAATATGACCAATAAAAAGGCATGTAGTTTGTTCAGTGTGGGTGCTCATCCCCTCTCATAGGGATGGTTGTACAAAAGTTAGCAGAGCAGGAATTCCAAAATTGCTGTCTGTGGAACACTCTGAAAGCATTAATGACTTGGTTGCCAAAGTGGGGCTATTTAAATCACTGTATTTGTGCTTTGTTTTGGAAAAAGTATCTTGAGGAAACTTTGTTATGTATTGCTTAATATTAAGTTGTATTTTTGTAGTCTGGCTTAGTGAAAAGCTGCTGTTTGGTATTTCTTTGGTCTTTTATGCTTAAGAAAATACTTAAAATTGGGAATGAGGGCCAAAGCTGTAGGTAAAAGGAAATGAATTGAGAAGCAATTTTGTCTAAGGAAATGTCTCACAACCTGAAAGATGTTGCTCAGACTGTGCCCTGACTTTTGCAGTTATTGTGAGATTTTGAGCAGAGCTGACTGTTGTCTCTTGATTCTTCCCAGGGAACAGCTCGCAGAAAGAAGAAGGTGGTGCACAGAACAGCTACAGCTGATGACAAAAAACTTCAGAGTTCCCTCAAAAAACTGGCTGTAAATAACATTGCTGGCATTGAAGAGGTATAGTGAAAAAAACCAAGTGTTTCCTGTTTGAAATTAAATTCACTCTGTTGTTTTGGTAGTGGTGTGGTGGGATTTGCTTTTGGCTTTCACAACAGTTTTATCTTCCAAGCAAAACCATAGAGATCTGGTTATTGAGAGGTAACATTGTTTGATGTATTGTCTCATTGGCATAAATGTATTTGTGCCTGGAGAAGGAAAGGTGAAGGTTCTGCTGGCCAGGCAGTGTGTGGTGGAGGTAGTAAGCTCTGTGCTGTGTGTGTGTCTTGCATTCATTGCAGAACAAAACTTCTCTTCATTCTTGACTTTTGTGAACTCGATTACCTGCTCTGAAGAGAAGAGCAATAAATGTACATGGACTGTGCAGGCACATCAGGAGAAAGTGTGCTGCAGATTATGAAGGAAGGACATTTAGAAACACCTTGAGTAAGAACTTGAGTCTGTATTATCAAAATTGAGACCTTCTACTACACAAAAATTGCTGGAATTGTTTGCAGTAGTTACAGGAAATGGTTTTTAAAGCACTGCAGAGACTCTACAGAAGCAGCTTCTGTGTTAATGTAAGTGGGAAGGTGAAGGTTTCACATGTTCCTTGAATACCTCTCATTTACATATATTAATAAAACATGTTTTCCATAACAGTGTAGAGAATGACCCTCATACATGGGGAGGAGGAGGAGGTGTCTCTATTGTGAGCTCAGTGGGGCTGTAGTACTTGTACTGCTTGGTTAAAGAAGTGCAGTATTTAATCTGTGATTAATTAATTGAAGCAGGATTGCAAGGTGCATGCAGAAGTCACTAAGTGCATTCCTCCCTTCCAAAGGCAAATGCAGATTGGTGTGGTTTGCCTGTAAGTTTTCAGACTTCTGTTACAGAAACAGCTCAGTTTGTCTGTTTTCTTAAGCTTAATACAAATATGCAGAGCTATATGAACTAAAGACATGGTTCTTCTTAGTGTTCAGGGGTTTTTTTTGTGCACAGAGCACAGGATCTTTATTCAGACACAGTTATTAAGGAATTTAAATATCTCAGTGTAGGAAGATGATGCAAAACGTTTCTACCTTGATAGCAAGAGACATAATTGTGGAATGTTTTATTCAAGTGAACGCAGGTTGACCTTGGTAAGCTTCGTGCACATAGAAGAGTAATGTTGAGTCAAGCATGAGTAACACATTTGTGTCATTTTCAAAGAGACTCTTAAGTAACAGGATAACTGCTTGAAGCCTTTACCATTTTCATGGGCAAAGGACAGGACATTGCTTAGTTTTGCAGGAAAGCAGCACACCTGGATTTCCTGTTCAAAACATATTTGGAACTCTGCTGTGTGAGGATTGAGAACTTAGATTTTTTTGCATTTTAGATCTCATCTTTAGTTCTGAATCCCTCTTTTCTCCCTGTAACCTAAAAACATTGCTTAATAATTTTTTTCATGTAAGTTTAATACCACTGTTGTGTTGGATGGGTAGAACTCTCTTCCTATGGTTAGACAATTACTTTTTGCACAATAGTTTATCCATGCCTAGAAGCAAAAGCTTTTCAGCTTTCTAAAGCAGGCCACTACACTGGCTGTAAGATAGAATTTGTGGTGATTCAGAAGGCCAGGGAAGGAGAGCAGGATCACTGTGTGGTGTCCTTAGTCTTAAGAGCCCTTGTGGAATTATTGGGAAGGTACTGGAAGTCTGTTCCAGTGCAGTTGGTACCTAATCCCCCAGTGCTGCGTGTGCATCCCTGCCCTGAGCCGGTGTGAGTCCTGTGCCTTTGCCAGCTGGGAAGAAGCAGGATCATTTTCCTGGTAGGTGACACAGGCACCTGTGAAAGGCAGTGGCATAACCTGACAAGGTGACAAGGTTGGAGCTTTGAATTTAGATGGTGTTAATTCCAGGTGCTTTATCATGGTTTTATTATCCTTCAGGCGGAGTGCTAGTTCTGTAATTTTGATATTTCAAGTCTAGATTTTAGTTATTATGCTTGTGTAACAAGATGCTACAACACTTAATGTGAATGTTATTAATATATTTAAACAGGTGAACATGATAAAAGATGATGGAACAGTTATTCACTTCAACAACCCCAAGGTTCAAGCTTCCCTCTCTGCCAACACTTTTGCGATTACTGGTCATGCAGAGGCTAAACCGATCACAGAAATGCTTCCAGGCATCTTAAGCCAGCTTGGTGCTGACAGCTTAACAAGTCTCAGGAAGTTAGCTGAACAATTCCCAAGACAAGGTAGGTCTTTTTGGAATCTTTCATAGCTGACTTAAACCACATATGAACTACTGAAAGTTTTAATCCAAATTTAACAACAGCATGTGACTTAAAAAGTCAGAAGTGTGTGTGTGCTTTTATTTATTTGCCACTGTTGTGGAAGTAGAGGGTGGGGGAGAACTTTCTTTTCATCTTTGTTGATTCAAGATTACATAGGCAGGCCGTGATTTATGAGAAATAGATAAGTCTGGCATGCTATGATAGCAGGTGTACAACTGTGTATGGCAGAATGCTTAGGGGAAAGCAAGTTCTTGTTTTTCCTTGGAAAAACTCAACTTTGTCAGGGAATCTGTTTTGTTTTCTTGGTTCATACAAAACATATTTCTATTGCAGTTGTAGAAGAAGAAATATGTTCTTCTGCTCTACAATTCGCTTTGGAATCCACCCAAGACTTAAAAAAAACTAGTTAAAAAAATCAAAATTTTAATTGAAAACTAAGAAAACACCAAATCACAGTTATGCACATAATTCTTTATTTTCTGTTAATTTTAAAATCTTGGGAGCATGGGTGGAAGGGTGTATGCAGTATAACTATTACTGTAATTTTACAATTAAAAAATTAAGATCAGGTACATTTCCAGTGTAGACTGTTATGGCCATTAAGATGAATGTGGTTGGATGTGTTGCAGTTGCCTGTGTTTGGAATGGAATATACATCACCTGTTCTAATGTTTTCAACAGGCAATTATTCCTTTTAAATCAGTTTTAATTTATCCAACATTCATGTTCAGAGTTTAAGTGAAAGTAAAGGGATTTTCTTCTTTAGTAATGTGTAAAATACCTTCTAAAATTTAGAGAGATGGATCATCATAAGCATATTTGAATCATATGATGTGTTGGTCACTGGTTGGTGCCATGTTATTGTTGCATTGAAACACGGGACTTCACTCAGAAGATTGAGTCATGCTGGGGGTTTTTTGTATCATTTGATCTTTTCCAAACTCACCCCATAGCATCTGAAAATGGCTCTGCTAATGCTTTGCTGTCGGAATGTCCCCAAGGAAACCTTTTGGTCATGCTGTTAACGCTCAGTACCTGGTCATTTGTGTGTTTGTCACTATTGAGGATTGGGGAAGTGCTTGCTTTTTTTTCACATGTGTGGTTTTTATTTTGTTGTGTGAGTGTCCCTGATTCTGTATTATGAGAACTCAGCACCAAATTTCTTTTTATAGTGTTGGATAGTAAAGCACCAAAATCTGAAGATATTGATGAAGAAGATGATGATGTCCCAGGTAGGCACATACACACTTTTATGTTCACTTAAGATAGAAATATTTTCATTCTTTCATTTAAATGTGTAGCTTTTGATGTGATTACACTCCTTCCTCACTTGCTAAGGGAAGCTTCTTTTATAGGACAGCATTAAAATATGACATGGGATTCCAGCTTTTAGAAAAGAGATTACCTTGTGCAACTACCTTAATTATTGAGTGAAAGTAGGTTAAAATAGTTTGTGAGGTTGAACAGGTATCTGAATATCCAAACAGGGGTTTAGGGCTGCAAAATAACATAATTGGCATCATTATCAGGTTGTTTTCATATCAGGGTCTGGAGTGGGAATTTTTATTTCTGTAGCAGAAGAAAAAAGGCTTGTGTCAGTGTCTGAAAGTAAATAAGTTTGTTATTTGTCAGCAAATAACTATTTTATCAATAACCACATTGCACTGTATCCTTTGGTATGGTGTGTTAGCTAAAACAACATACGTGTGGACCAGAGATTCAATTCCTCCTGCCTTGGCACTGGGTTATTTCTTTGTGACCTTGCATAAAATTCAATTCTGTAAAATGGCAGGCATTCTTTAAAGAATGCTGATGCTCAAAACTCAGCTAAAGCTAGTAGAGCAACTTTGAAAATCAGCACTTAATGTTAGAATTTTCACTGTTGGAGTGTTTCTGCATTTCTAGTTCTTTGTGTACATTTAAACAAACAATATTTTCTAAAGCCCTTTAAAATCTGCCCATAAAGAAATGGTTTCTCTAAGTGTAATTAGGTATTACTTAACCTTTCCTGTAATATTATGCATTTTCATTAAACTTACAAAGGTAATCTTACTGGGCATTACTGTATTAAATATCTTCATCTTTTTCAGATCTCGTAGAAAATTTTGATGAAGCATCAAAGAATGAAGCTAACTAAAACATTAATAGTTCTGGAAGCTGGCATGGACTAGATTTAAGAAATCAGCTATGTGGTTCCAAAGTTTTAAAGAAACAGAGAACATCATCTGTTAATAGTTCAGTAATATAAATATTTTGTATTTTTATGATGCTGTTTGTTCAGCATTTTCTGTCAGTTGATTTTGCATTTTGCACTTACTCCCAGGATCTACTCTTTTGGTCAAAAAGAAATGTCAGTGCAGTTTGAGGGGTGTGTGTATGTGTGTGGGTGTACGTATAGTGGAGAACAAATTGGAGAACACATATTTAACCATTTACCCTTTTCTTTTGGAAGTAGAAATAAAATGAATCTTCAGCATCATTACTTTGATTATCACCAAATAGTGCACAGAGGGAGTTAAGATTAACATTTTGTCTACGTTTTGTGACCTGAAGGCATTACACCATTAAAACTTGGGGTTAATTTGCTGTAACTATTGTACTTGCAGGTGTGTTTCTCAGTGTACACATATTTGTTATCAACCTTGTGTTGATCCCAGGATTTAGGGGAGATGAGCTGTTATAGCAGCTTGTTTGGTACAGTAACTTTTTAAAAACTTGGTCTCATCAAAGTGTGCTTTTTTTAACCTTTTACATTTTGTTTGTTTGGGGATTTTTTTGGGGTTTTTTTGGTCTCTAAAGTTTTGATACAAGCTGATATTTGACTCCTTCCATGTAGACTTAGCAGTATGTTCTCCTGTTGGTTACTAAAGTATTTCCCAGTCAAAAGAAAAACACCTTGGTTCTCTACTGTCGGGTCACTTCCTAAGCTTGGAGGTCTGGTTGGTAACAGTCCAGTGCACCAGTTTTGCACAGTAACAGGGTTTTGCTTGAATAACTTCAAGCTGTTCTCTTGGCATGACTGCATTTACTAGCAGCTGATGATCCACTCTCATTCTTAGGGCACTAGGAACTAAGTGCACTGTGCGAACAGTGTTTAGGGTGGGAGGAAAGAATTGTTGACACTTTGCCTTGCTTCCTGCTGGGCAGTCTGTGCAGTGACTAGCTCTAAAGGGATTTTTTTTTTTTTTTTTTCTTTTTTTTTCTTTCTTTTTTTTTTTTTTTTTGCCTGTAACTTACCTTGGCCTATAACCTACCTCTAGGTTTGGTGTCATCTATGTAGTAGCTTCTTAAAAAACACAAATGCTCCTCAGGCATAAGGAGGACATTGGGAGGTACTGTTGGTACAGTGCAGTATTTATGACCTTTCTTTAAAATGCTTAATGTGAAGCCGTTTTCTCAGAGGCTCTTTCAAGGTTCTTGATGTAATGTGCATTACAGTATAGTTAGACATCATTGTAACCTCTGTCAAGGGCAGCTGTGGCTTACAAAAGCCACTTTGTTGTTTTTTTTTTTTTCTCTACATCTGTCACTTAACTATGGCTTAATTGGAACATATCAGCTTTTGGTGTAGGCTCATATGCTAGAGAACTGTAATAGTACAAGCAAACAGTCCATGAGTTCTGGAGACTTCATGAACCCACAGAAGTAGAGCTGTAGTGGTTCGGCAGCTGAACTCCTCGGTTCATTTTCTAGGCTTCGTTCAGTTTTTCCTGTTATATTTTATATACTACGTGGATCTTACTACAAAATAAAATAACAGTACAAAAGAGGAAATGCTCCCTCCTGTGTGTTGTCTGCTCCTCCCACCAGCACTGGCTGAGGAAAGCAGGTGGATGCAGCAGCTGTTTGAGACAGCACTGCATTCTTGGTGACAGTGACCAAGGAAGACATGGGGCTAGGGAGGGTCCTGTTAGAGCTCTAGGATTTCACACTCCCTTTACTCCTATTTTTTCTGTGCTGTTGAAAAAAACTTCTGTTTGTTGTATGGCTGATTAGCTGCAGATGATTTGTTCTGTTTATAAGGAGATGTCTCCACAAATGTGTGCTCATGGAATTGCCTTCTGCTGCCTCTGTGAGCCCAGGGAGCAACGGAAGGACATGAGGCCACAGGTAATTGCAGTGTTCCTCCATTTGCTTAAGAGGCACAAGTGAAGAACCTTTCCAAGTAGCCACTGTACAGAGCTGATATATGGGACATCCTCTTCCTAAATATTAATCAGATACTGAAAATTCCTGCTTGTTCATTCTGATGTAGGAGGTATGTCAAAAGTAATTTTGTGAGACTAAAAGTAAGCCTTGGAAACAATGATTCCCTCAGTTTATGTAGCTGAACTTTCTCATTCCTACAAAACACTGATTAAGTTTTTGCTCTTGAATTTACATGTTAAACCCTCACATTTTTCCTGTGTTGACAACCAGTAAACCAACTAACTATGCTAGCTTATGTAGTTATATTATTTTCAGTTTTTTTCACTGTCTCTGGAAACAGTCAACCACTTATGATTTGCTGCTGGAAATACTAGAGCTTATCAATCATTAAACGGATTTTAATTAAAAGTAGCCCATAAAGGCTGTTGTGGGAAAAGCTCTTTTTCTTTTGTATTTATTCATGGTATAACACAAACAGTGCTTGTACGTGCTAATGGAAATGCAAGGTTACTAAAAAGAGTTTTGGGGAGTATTGGTAAAAAAAAACTCCCCTGATAAAGATGAACACTAAGTTCTTCTTTGCTTGGCTTGAAGCATGGTAACCACCATACTCCTGAAGCCCTTGTGCTTGCTCACTACTTAACTCTGCTGATGTATTAAAGATACTGGTAATACTACTGACATGTTAAATAACTTAGCAGTGACTGGAAAGTAGGGAGATGGAGCAGGAAGGAAATCAAAACATCTCCTGAATTGTATGTGAGGGAGTCAAAGCTCAAGCAGTGAAAATCAAAGAATCAGCAAATGTGTGAGACAGCAAACACTGACCTTCCTGCCCTGGCTGCTGGTACATTTGTGTAGTTCCCTAGTTTATGGCTGGGAAACCTACGTCTGGCTGGCTTCTCTGAGGCAGGAGAGAAGTCTGTAAAAACCTGCAATTGTTTAATAATTTTCTCTATGAGAGAGAAATGCTTGTTTGTGATGGATGCTGGGGTTACAGTGCAAACAGTGGCGCTCGGTGCATGGATTTCCCATGCAGAGCTGGAGAACAAAGTGAATTTACAGCTTGGAATGTTTGTAGGGTGGAAGGAGTTTATATAAAAAGGACATTTAATACACAGTACAGACCTTGGATTTTTTATTTTTAGCTTTTGTTATATAGCAATACTTGAAGAGTGCACAGGAATGATAAGGATGAATTTAGAACTGCTGTGGAAATATGTTGATAACTTGCTCATATTTGTCAACTTTCCATGGGAACTAGAAGTTGCTATGAGCTCCCTTCTGCCAGGATCTTCACAAATAATGTTTTGGATTTGGGGTGTAGAAAATGAGCCCTGGAGGTCTTAGAGCTGATTTAATTAGTGAGCAGTAGGTTGATTGACCAGTGTACTTGTTAGCAGGAAGGAACTGATGAAGCCATAAGAACACAGTAAGGCTGTACTATATATGAGATAAATCATGCCTCTACTGAGCAAGGTGTAGAAAGGATCCTCCTGAGGTTCCTTGGAATCAGAACCCACGCAGCTCTGGGCAGTAGGAATTTGCAGAGGGCTGAGCAAAGTGCCCCTTAGCTAAAGGTGAGTGAGTGAATTCTTCCACTAGCACTGAAGATCAGTCTGCTCATATTATTCAAAAGCAGTACTGGTTTGTTCAACAAAGTGAGTAGTCTTTATTCTGGGGATCCAGATTTCACTAATTAAATGATCTCTGTTTTGTACCTGAGCAAATGAAGTGGCGCAGAAGAGAAGCATATCAGAACAGCAGCCATAGCAGCTTCACAGAAGTGACTGCACAAGTGCAGGGAATGGTTATTTGCCTTTAACTGCTTTCCCATTAAATATTTTTTTTTAATCCCTCCCTTTTAAAGACCAATTTGCAGACACTGAAGAACTTAATGGATTTATCCAGAAACCTGAGGGCTGCAGTATCAGTCAGGGATTTGGGGAGCAAGCAAAGACATTATTTCTAAAATTGGTAATCTTGGTATGTTTGGGTGGAAGCTTGGGTTGGTATCTAGAGCAGGGTTATTGAGGCTTTCCTTTCACATCCAGCACTGTTACTGGACAAGAAAAAACAGACTTGTACATCTTCCAGGGCCTTGGTTTGCCTTTATTTCAGGAGTACTGCTCTGCCTGTTCTATGTGCTTTGTAAATTAATGAATACAAAACTTCTTCAGAGAAGCTACATCTCTGCAATTGGTATACAAAGCTACTTCTATGTGATAAACACATAGTGTTTGGTGGGTTCTCTGTGCTGTTAAACTCCCTCTCACTAAGCAGCAGACCCCCAGCTTGCTCAGATGCTCAGATTTTGTCAACTGTCAGATTCTCACATATTAGCATCTCCCTGAATTTTGCATTGCAGGTAGATTTTTTGTAGCTAAGCTAAATTAGTTGCCTCTTTGAAGTAAAAGGAGATCAACTGCTCATTTGAGTTCTTGAAGTTTTGTGATATTTTTGTTAAAGTATGAATACTAAGGCAAACATAGAAACAAAAAACCTTATTCCAAGGCCTTTTGACCTTTCAGTGCACATATCCCAGCTGAATAAAAGGAGTTATGCAACCTCATGCACTTTCTTGCAACATCCTTGTTGCAGCTATAGTAACTGCTTATGTCAAAAAGTAATATTAGAAAGTATTTAATGTATTTTTAGATTCTGTCTAATGCAACTTAGCTGATAAAGAAGAGCCAGTGCTGTGAGACCAGCTCTACAGACATTGGGAAGCGTGGCGCAAACAACATTTTGAGAACAGCAGATCTCATTTTGAGGCCATGTGCGAAGCTGGAAATTTCCAAGCAATGCAAATTACTGTCTGACATAGGTAAGTGAAGATGTAAAATCTCAGCAGATGTCAGCAGGATGCCAGACCTTTGCACACCAGGAGCGAGGTTCCCAAAAAAGCTTTCACTCATCTCTGGCTTTTCTGCTACCAATAGAGCAAGGCTTCCCCTTCCTTTGCATTCCCAAACTGATGCCTGAGGTCAGCTGGACCAGCTTGCTCTGAAGCTACAGGAACCCATCTTGTTGCCTTTGCCTCACCACCTGCCAATGAGCTTGAAACATTTGGGAGATAGAGGTTAACCCCCTCAGAGGGAAGTGTTTGCAGGCAGGCTGGGTGGGGATGGCCAGCAGCAAAGCAGCCTCACAGGCTGGACTGAGCTGGCCTTTGAGTCCTGCTGCTGCTGGGGCTAGGCAAGACACTGTAGGGCAGCTTGTGCTGCTGCTGCCAGGGTCGTACAGAGTTTGGGAAGAGGGGAGGATGGGCCATGTTGAAGCCCTGGGTGATGATGCTGTCAGCTCCTCTTAACTTGCAGTTTGTTTCTGAATTTTTTGTTGTGAAATAGGGATTCTGTCCAGTTCACTTTGCCTGCACCATGGGCAGCCCAGCATGCCCTCACTGCCCTCTGCTCCACAACTGCACAGCCTTCCCAGTGAGCCTGTCCTGCGTGTCTCCTTCTAGGTGAACACTGATTTACTGGGGCAAGCTGCTGAAGTTTTGATGTTTCATGCTGCAGGTTCTGGTTCATTGAAAATCACTTTAAAATTTACTGACTGAGATATGTAATATGGAATTTCCACTTTTGTGACAAGATCTAGTTTCACATGGTTTCTGACACATGCTGTTGAATTGAAAATAACCCTAGTTTGCTTACAGCATTGTTATAATCTCCAGGGAGTAACAATGCAACTAAATTCCTGCTCTGTTCATTTTGAAACCTTTGCTCTACTGCTGGAAACTTGGCCTGCTCTGTGATTGACACTTGTAATTAGTGACATTTTGCATGTTTCTGAAAGAATGCAAATACAATCCTAAAATAATTTTTACTTTGAATAAGGATTTCTTCCCCTCTGTACCTTAAGTTTCCCACAACCTGCTTCCACAGTTTGACAGAAAGACATTGGGTTTTCTCATGATCTCCTGCTGGATATTTGGGCAATTTGCTGAGGCTTTCTTCTATTTTGACACAAAAGTGATGTCAGTCTTCTGAAAAACAGGGAATGTAATATTTTCTAGTCTTTACTATATCACCTTTCAGCAGCATGATTTCAGTGTTCTTGTAAATTATTAACTTTTGAACAGAGGGATATTATTGCCTCTAACTCTTCTCCTGCCCTTTGAGTTTATAGGGTTGCTTTCATTGGCAGTGTGCACTGAGAAATCATGTTGGCCACTTGCAGCCCTGAAATTGTAATAGTTTATCCCATTACACGGTGATTTTTCCCGCTCAGTTCTCCTGAGAACCTTGAAATAGGTTTTCCATAAAAAAATTCCAGACACTCTTTTTTCTTTTAAAGGCTGTAGTCAGATTTGAAGGGATAATCTAGCTATTGTTTCTAGTGGAATACATGTTCTATCCTGATGATTTTGTAAATTATAGGGGATTTTTATAATGCAGTCTGGGTCACTGAGAACCTGGTGAGTTCTTTGAACAAGCTTGCTTGTTCTTTGGCTACAAGCAGACAAACATCATTAGCATTTTAACTGATGGAAACTCTTCCATGTAAAATGCACACAGTCTTACTGGTTTTAATCTGCACAAGCATTTCATGGATTTGCAGTAAACTGTAATAAAAGGTTTGGATGTCTTATACCTCCATTTCCTCATTGGCTCACAGTAGCATCATCAGAAATGTACACTCATTGTGTTTGCCTTTGTGTGACTGCAGTTCTGTCATCTTACTTTCTCTATAGCTGTTGTGGTATTGTCTGAGAAACAGGACTACTGAATTTGACTGCCATCACAGTGTGCTGATCCTTTCAAACTGCTCAGGTCCTCATGTTCATTATGGTTCAGAATGGCCAGTATTTGTTGGAAAAGGAAAAAGGAAAGTAGTAACTACTCAGAACAAGAATTCACTTGCATTGAATAAATATGGTGAGCAATTCTTTTTATTAGTTTCTCTGTTGAGACATTAATCTGCGTTAAAATTTGTATGAGACGTGCCTTGGTTCGATTTTTACCCTTTTATCTTAACACTTAGATAAGCCAAGATAAGAGAGAGGTGATTAAATACTTGTTCTCAATTACTCCTGTCCTCATAAGCAGCCCCATGAAATATTACTACAGGAGGAATTACGTGCATTGGTCTACGTGCACAATAAAAACAAGCTTTAACAGTTGTTCCTACCATAGTTAAGTAATCCTGTTAAAGCAGAAACATTTGCAAGTTTTATACTTGGAATGTCTCTCTGGATTGATGAAAGCAAAATAAAAGACAGATGTCAAAGATGCCAAAGAGCATTTTAATTTTTCACCCCTCACTCTCTCCCCCAAGAGTGGAGCTTCTTGATGTATGTGCTGTTATTTACTGTGTCCTATTTAATTCTGTATCATAGTCAAAATTGTTTGCAAGAGTTCTGGCACCTTGAAATGGAGTACCAGCCTTTTTTAGCAAACTCACAGCATTCACCTGACTGATTGCTGAGGTACGAACATGAACAACACAGAGACAAGAGACATCTCTCACTGAGATGTTGAGGAAATAGCTGGTCAGGCCTTCCCAAGTGTCTGACTCACAGCACTCTACAAAATCTCAATCATGTGATTTAGCAAGGCATAAATAAGCCCGAGGTAGTTTTTTTATAGGCTTAATTACACCCAGTGAAGCAATGTCTTCTTGCTTGAGCAGGGAGTTGCTACACTGCTGCAAAGGCAAACCAGTGCCAGGAGAACAGGAAGGTTCCAGCAGAGCCATGGAGTTCATGGGACAAGCAGGAGGAGTGTGTGTGCACTTCCATGGCATTTGGTGGTGGGGTTTGCCTGTGACGGTAAGACCGATTGATTCCCTGTTTGCCATCACTGCTGACTCAATAAATGACATGATCAAGATGAGCATGTGTGTTTCAGATTTTTTTTGTTGTTTATTTGGGTCGTTTTCCCCCCTCATATGGACTAGTGAAAGAGAAATGAACCAGTGGGAAGTGGGTATACCTGCCTAGAATAATTACTGGTTGTATTTTGTCAGGAGATCTTTACATAAAACCAGTGGCACTATTGTTCCTTCACTCAATTTTTGTGACTTAATATCTGTAAGAAATCATGATAGTGTTGAGGGGACATTAAAGATCATCATCAGTTTCTCCCCCCTTGCCACATTCCAGTGTCTGCAAGATTCTAGACTTGTCCAGTCCATGTCTAACACCACACCTGGCAAATGGGAATTTTAAACATGTTTCCATGAATAAGGAGGCCAGCACAGGCTGGTATGTGAAGCATTTGCTCAGCTTGTACAACTGCAACCAATGGGATATTTTCCACCATTAGGGGAAGGGGCTGGAGCCAATGCCATCCCTTCCTCTGCTGGGCTAATGCTTGGACCCCACGGATTGCCTGCCAAACACAGAACGTGAGTGCTCAGGGGAGAACACAATGTTCCATTAATGTTGCATCACTGCATTGTGTAATGGGCCTTGCTGGATACTAACTCCTTTGTTAGACTGTTCTCTGTAAAAACACTGAATAAAAGGTGTCCCTTTACCTGAAACCTCCATGGGTTAAAATTAATGGCAGCTGGTTTTCAGTAGTTGTGAATGGCAGTAAAGTCCAGTTATGAGGCTCAGGGCCTCTTACAGAAACAGTAACAATGGCCCAGCATGATGACATGGATACAGGATCCATCCCACACATACTGCCTTTGAAACACACATAAAATCATTGAATAATCACCATTTTGTGAAGGTTGCATTGAGGTGTTTGTCATCTGGCAAAGCACTCTTTTTTACTGGTCAGCTTTCATTTTTATGGCCTGTTAGATTAAATGCCATTTTTACCAAGCTCAAATCTTTTCTCAATCAATGTCTTTAGTAGTAGGGAGCACTTTGAAGTCAACTTAGAAAGCACATTCAGTTCTTTCTAGTATTTGAAGTTCTTTGCCTACTGCATAAATTACAGGACTAATGCACTCCCCTTACTCCCACACGTGAATATAATTCATGTAAATTATATTGAAATTCAGTCTGTCTTTCCCAAGCCTGAATTTGTTAATCACTTGGACACTGCCACAGTCATGAAACCATGAGTCTGCCACAACTGAATGATTAGATTTCTGAATTATTAGATTTCTTTCTTGTAGCCTCATACTTTTTATTCAAACACTCTCCTGTAGCATCCACTTCCATGTTGCCGTACTACATAAAGTCCTGGCTCAGTTTTGGCTTGGCTGCCTTATTCAGCCAAGAGACAGGATTTTAGTTACTATTTTTCAGATGCTCAGCTTCTTGCAAACTATAGGGGGAGATGTTTGCTCATCAGGTTTTTTTTTTTCCCAGTGTGAATCATTCATTTTCCTTGGAAGAAAAGAAAAATTCAGCCAGCAAACAATATTTTTCTGTGTGTCCAATGAAAGAACCCCCTCGTTGCCAAAGGGAGAATGGAGAGGGACTGCTCTGTTTTTGTTTCAGTTTCAAGATGTTTGGCTTCTTTCTGCAGATGGGTACTACTCTTATCCTTTGGTGCTTGGAAACATAACCTTTCCATCCAGACTGCTTTTCACTTTATTCCTTTTTTTGTTCTGCTACAATCTATATAAAACTGTTATATAATTCATAGAAAATAATTTCTTTAATAAAAAGCGATAAAACTCTATAAAGAAAATAAGGGATTTGGTATCAGATATAACAAATGGGTAAATCAATTCCTTCATTTTTCTAAGTTTATAGCAACTTTATTCCCTTTACAGAGAATTTTCTTTCATGTCATATGTGGTACTTTAGAATCAGTGAAGGTGACTTATTTCTAAATTTAAAAAACCCTTTTTTCTACGCCTTTTCCTGCTTTACAGTTGCCTGTAGCAGCCTGGAGGGAAGGTGCTAGTGTTGGAGCCAGGCCCTGTGTGTACCTGCACAGAGCACAGTCACTTCAGGCTCCTGTTTTATAACACTTCAAAATTATATCAATTTCAGAAAAAGAGTTTTGATGTCATGTGGATGTGATCTTCAGAGAGTAAATTAAATGGGTTATAACTGTCTTCCCTAGTGAATTTATGGCATGGGGAATTTCAGGTCAGCTCAGTTGACTGCCTCATTTTTTAAAGCTTTTCACTATGGGTTCTACATTTTCAGTTAAGCTGTTGCTATTTAAAAAGATGACTTCCATGTCATTTGCAAAGCATGTAGAAGCTGGAGGCAATTCAGCATTTTGACACTCTTAATTAACTGATGGCCTGTCATGAAAGCAGGTTGTAATTAAATGATACAGTAATTTTGGCCGTGCTGCCTTCCAAACTATTTTTATATCTCAGCAGAATAATTCAGGTGGTGACATCATGCCAGTATATGTGCTTCTCCTTCCTCAGTGCCTGCTCAGGAATTGTTACTCATGGTTTGAAATAGCTTTAAGAAAATAAATTCCGACCAGTTCTTGGTGAAAAAGGAAATAGAAATTTTTAAAATTTCCTGTCACACACTGTGGCCTGTTATCCTGTCAGGGTCTGTGAAGATGACTTGTAATATGTGACAACCTACATGTCCTGTAAAAGAGACTCACACATTCGGGGTTTCTAGGGCAATCCAGATGGGCTCATGAAAAATGGTGGAAGAAAAAGTTAATTTTGATGGCTACAGAGCCTGAGCCTTGGGATGCTGGTAATTATTTGAGTAAGATTGTATTTGGATTTGGGCCCAAAGTACTTTTGACTAATGAAGATTATACTGTCTTCAACTAGAGGGGTGGATGTTGAAATGGGAGTGCTTTTACTGGATAAGCAAACAGTTTTATGTAGGTGTTCCAGGATGGACATGTCCCTAACACAGCCTGACAGTGTTACTATTCACAAATGAGTAGGATTTGTCAGGAGCCTGTAATACCCTCTGCATTTTGAGCCAGGTTCTTTTGATGTCCATTTTCTGATGTGCTGCCCTGGGGAGATCTGCCATCTATTAATCTATTCAATCCTTTAATAACATCCCTTGTGCCAGGAACATCATAATGCTGAACGCCGTGACTGAGACGTTACTATGAATATGCTGAAGATCCTTGCTTGGTGTACGATGAAACAATCTTTGGGGAATAAGTGAAACAAAAGAGTGTGTAGGATATCCTTTAATTCAATGAGGAATGTGGGTGGAGAAGTAATTGAAATGAACAAGATGCTTTGGAGTTTCGTAAATGCCTTAAATACTTCAGGGTGTGCTTAAAGCTTTGTGTGTGTGTGTGTGAACCATTTCACTGCTCCAAGAACTGATGAAAGCAGGAGCCCATGTAAAGAGCAGCCCATGTTTTTAACCATTCTTCACCTGCCCCCCATCACACCTTTTCCCCGAGGTATGAGCACTGTATTCCCTGTGGCATTTCTGATAGAGGAGAAATAACCCTATGAAGAATTTTAGGCCTGTGTGTGGCTGACTGACAGCCACCTGCTGCTGAAAGCTCCTGCAGTGGCTGCCTTCCCTCTCCGTGCCCTCAGCAGTGGCAGCTGTTTTTGGCCCTCCCCTGCAGCAGTCACCACTTGCCTCAGTCAAATGTGGTTGAATTAGAACAACATATTCCTGAGTTATTTCAGAAACAAAGATGTGCCTGCAATCTGCAGCACAGGTGTGTGAGCCTTTCTCCTTTGAAAGACAGCTTCAAATATTCTGTGCACAAAGGGTGGTGGTTTTGATGCCCACTGCACCCATTGTCATTGAGGAGCAGTAGGGAGGAAAAGACCCAAATGCCAACAGTAGATAAGCCAAGAAAGTGTTGCGAAAACGATGCCTGCCAGATTCTTTCAAGAATAAAATCCCTTTTGGTGGAGTTTGACTCAGTCACACTTTGAATGATTTAATTACCAAAAATCATTAACCAGAGCTTGAGAGTCATGTATGTCCATGCATAGCAGCTATTCATCTATCTCCAGTGCAACAAAGAAGGGAAATGCTTAAGATAACAATGAGCCAACTACATCTATCACTTCCTTTCAAGTAAGTTTCAGTTCCTCCCTAAAGAAAACTCAGCTCTTCCTTTGAATCTACAATGACCTAAAGAATAAACTCATATATAGATATTAGATCAAACCCTTCACATTAGCACTGAAAAGAAAAAAAAAAGGCACTGTAGATGAAGGTTTATACTTTTGTTTACTTACATCCTCAAAAAAAAGGTCCCTCAAACAACAAAACAAACCAGACTGGAAATATGTAGCTGCATGGCCATAGACAAGTTGACAACGCTACACTTGGACTGAAAACTTTGTCTGAAACGTATTTCCTACCTCAAACAGAAGCTGTGAGCTTCAGTGAAGATGTGTGTCCTCACTGCTCCTGCTGTCCCTCATCCTCTGCCTTCCTTTGCCCCAGCACTCACTGGGCTCCTTCTCTCTGCGTACTCCCTTCTCCTACTGGGACCAGCAGCTTTCCCTCTCCTCCCTCAGGTTCACAGACCTGTGGATCTGGAGGAATAGGTGAAAGAAATAATGAGAAGAAATTATATTATAGCATTCCCCGTCAGGACCGCAGTGCTGCACACTGATGGGCCCCAGTGAGGCACAGAGATGGGACGCATCCCTGTTTGCTGTGCTCTGGCAGCACAGGCTGACAAGGAGTCAGATGTAGCAGTTTCTGACCTTCATCTGTTTGTTTTGTCTTTGTTCCCACCTTGGACTTCGATTTCTCTTTGGGTGCTTTCCACACAACCACAGAACAGCAGAGCTTCTCTAACTCAGTGACACAGCCCCCTCAGCTCTGCCCATAACCCTCACCCTGTCAATAGGGATAGGACTGAGGAATTAAAAGCTGAAAATGACACCATATAAAGATGCAGAGAAACTTGAGATTTAAAGATAAATTGAAAACACAATAATATTTACAGAAGAAGGAAAAGGAGGTACATAGCAGAAATAGAATTGAGGGTTA